TACCTAGGGCTGATCCTTCCATGTTAAGGTTGAACCATGTAATGGGGGAAAGCGAATAAATACCATCTAGCTATGCGTAAAGCTTTCTCTGATAGGATACTAAGCCTTGTGGATAAGGGAGAAGTAGTGGACATGGTATAGCTAGACTTTAGTAAGGCATTTGACACGGTCTTGCATGATCTTCTTATCAATAAACTAGGGAAATACAACCTAGATGGGGCTACTATAAGGTGGGTGCATAACTGTCTAGATAACCATTCTCAGAGAGTAGTTAATGGTTCACAATCCTGCTGGAAGGGCACAACAAGTGGTGTTTCATGGGTTCTGTTGTGGGACCAGTTCTGTTCAATATCTCCATCAGTGATTTAGATGATGGCATAGAGAGTACGATTATTAAGTTTGAAGATGATACTAAGCTGGGAGGAAATGCAACTTCTTTGGAGGATAGGGCCAAAATTCAAAATGATCTGGACAAACTAGAGAAATGGTCTGAAGTAAACAGGATGAAGTTTAATAAGGATGAATGCAAAGTACTCCACTTAGGAAGGAACAATGCGTTTCACACATACAGGATAGGAAGTGATTGTTTAGGAAGGATACCACTGAAAGGTATTTAAGAGTCATAGTAGAGAAGTTAAACATGAGTCAAAAGTGAGACACAGTTGCAAAAAAAGGAAACAAGATTCTGGGATGCATTAACAGGAGTGTTGGGAGCAAGACACAGCAAGTCATTCTTCTGATCTACTCTCTGCTGATTTGGTCTCGGAGTATTTTGTCAAGTTCTGGGCACCACATTTCAAGAAAGATGTGGAGAAATTGGAGAAGGTCTAGAGAAGAGCAACAAAAATGATTAAAGATCTAGAAAACATACCCTATGAGGGAAGACTAAAAGAATTGGGCTTGTTTAGTTTAGAAAAGAGAAGACTACGAGGTGATATGATAGTGGTTTTCAAGTGGCTCTGAGGAGAGAACAAGAAGCAATGGGCTTAAATTGCAGCAAGGGAGGTTTAGGTTGGACATTAAGAGAACCTTCCTAACTGTGCGGGTGTTTAAACATTGAAATAAATTACTTAGGGGTGTTTTGGAATCTCCATCATTGGAGATATTTAAGAGCAGGTTAGACAGTCATCTTTCAGGGATGATCTAGACGGTGCATGGTCCTGCTGTGAGGTCAGGGGACTGTACTCGATGACCTCTTGAGGTCCCTTCCAGTTCTATGATTCTATGATACCATCCCTGTGGTGGGAAAAACGTCTCAGCATCCCAACACTGTGGCATTTCATTTCAGAAAGGGGAACTACACAAAAATGAGGAGGTTAGGGTACATTTTTCTGGAATAATGGCTGTTATTCTGGAAAAACAATATTTGCATCCACACTGCAATTGTGTTCTTTCTACAAAAAGTTGAAAGCATGGAGGGCTTTTTCCAATGGCAGTAAACCTCTTTCTATGTGAATAATGTATTTTCTGAAAAAGGCATGTGTGGATGTGGAAAAGGGAATTCTGTTGAAAAAAGAGACCTCCGGGAAATAACACAAGTGCCCTGCTTGCCACTCCATCCACACTCATCACAACTCTATAGTTCCTGTCTCCTGGTAGCTCTTAAAGCCGTGGGCATCCAGGACAAGGCTTGTGGCAGGAAGCCGGCCCTGGGAACTGCACTTCACCACGCAGTTCACATTGCCACACACCTCGGCACCCATGGCCCAGCTTCAAGCTCCCCAAGAGCTCTTTGCCCATCCCAGGAAGCATGCACGGTGCTCCCAGGAGCCTACTAGGGTGACAAAAAGATGAGCGCTGTCCTGGTCTGGGGTGGAAATCCTCACCCTCCTGGATGTCTGGGGCAAAGTAGAGGACTTTTTTGCGCAAAAGCGCGTCTAGATTGTCCATGGATGCTTTTGTGCAAAAGTGCTTTTGCGGAAAAGCGTCCATGCAAATCTAGACGCTCTTTTCCGCAAATGCTTTTAATGGAAAACTTTTCCGTTAAAAGCATTTGTTGAAAATCATACCAGTCTAGACATAGCCTTAGTGTGTATGCTCACCTTGTTATGGCTCTACTCCACTTCTAAAAACAGAAACTGAATGGAGACCTGGGAGCCAAAGGATTTGACATACATAGATTTTATTTCTCTTCTGCTAATTAAGTCCCCCAGTATGCAGCTTTTTGTAGGGACTGCTAAAGATCAGAGCTGGAGAGAAAGCTAAATTGTGTTACTTTTTTTCAACAGATTAATGCATATTTACATGGGGTTACATGGTAACCAATTATATACACATTGACTCAAAAAGGCAAAATGAATCAGTGTTTGTCATTTCAATGAGCAACTCTCAAAATGATTAAAATAAAATATAAACCCTTGAGAATGGTCATGTTTAAAAACAAATGCATTAACATTTCCTAAGTTTTCCCACACTTATTTACTATTTAGGCAAGTCTTTCCTCCTCCACTTCCTGTACTAGGACCTGCTCCGATGGCTGGCCTGGGTGGGCAGGAGCCTAAGGGCATAACAAAGTAGATGACACGGAGCAGTGAAGCTGCAGTGCACAGAAAGGAGAGTGAAAGCTCCTTGCAGCAAACCTTAGTCACTCCCAAAAGCCAAGGACAACTTGTACTTGGTGAACATACCTCACAAGGATGATGTGAGAGTTAAAGTAGTGAAATCTTCATTCTATAGAGGATTAATGGAAGACTACAAAGCAGATGAGTAGCTAACAGAGCTGGGATCAGAGCTCAGTGATTCCTCCTGGCTCCCTGCTCAGGGTTAGTCTTTAAGGTGCTACTAAATTTTTGTTGTTTTTTAAGTTCTTCCTGTTACAGACTAACTCGGCTACCCCTCTGAAGCCTCAGTTTTAATAGTTTTTCATACAGTGCCTATCACTGTTGCATCAAAGCACTCAGATTCAGCTCCCTCCTATTTTAACAAAGATTTCATCAACCACTGCCACCCATCATCTTCGGAACTGAGCAATGAAATCATAATGAATCTGTAGAGGCACACTCAGTTCCATGGCAACAAAGATGTCACGAACACTGAATTATTACAGGGGAGTGCCACCTATTATTAAGGTTGTCCTACACTTCCCATTATAAGACCTTATTTTCAGTTCCTTATAATTTTGCTATACTTTAACTGCTTGGGCTGAAATTTTCTATGCTGGATATCTGTCTCAGGCATTTTTTTTTAATTTCAATCAAAAAGCATAAGAAGGATAGGAAAAAATACACTGGAATGTCTATATGGAAAAAAATCATAGACCTTCCTCTACTCCAGTGAAAATCTGTCCATATTTGCCCAAGTTATAAGCTTTTGAATAATTAGAGTTTGCACTTGCTCATACAGGTTTGGTAGAAATTAGTTGCTAAAAACATCATAGATTGAGCAGGACTTCCCTCTAATTGCACCTGTGACTTCTGTTGGCTTGGCTGCAGCCAGACTCTGTAATTGAGGACTGGTTGGCTATTCTGTGTTGCCAATGCTCCTTTACTACACCCAAGCAGCATGAATTGTGAAACTGCCTGAATCAAATAGAGAGAGAACAAGAGCCGGATCAAAGGGAGTTGGATAGATTGGGAAAGAAGCATGGAGTTAGGAGGGGGAGACTGGGACTGGAGGTAACAGAGGGTCTGGAGCGATTAAATGGGAACATGGGGAGATTGGGGAAAGATAGGTAATCCAGAGGGTCAAGCTAGGATTGCCAGGGAAACTGGAACTGGGATGAGATGCTTAAGGAGTGGGGACTAGGACTGGCTATGGGAGGAGAATGGGAGTGAGCCAAGAAGCCAGGGAAGGAGAAGAGCTAGGGCTGAGTCAGGGCATATTAGAGAAATTGGGGCAGAAGTGTCAAGCTTGATGGGAAGAGGCAGAAGTATCTGTAGCCACCAGAGCGCACACAGTCTGGAATGGAACCCATGATTCCTGAGCCTCACAATTCCTCTACTATCAGCAATATCTGTGAAACCCACTGTCAAACTGCCCCATCTGCCTCTAGAGCTGGCCCACACAGAGAATTAGCCCCTGTGCTCCCTTTACCCCTCTCTCCGTTATTGGTGGGTGGAAGGGTCCTTGTCCCACTCTGCTGCTGTTCCTGCCAAGTGAGCAGTGTACCAGCTGTTTGGGGTCATAGCATCTATAGGCAAATAAATGGCAGCAGCATGAGAAGACCCCCTTCCTTCCTTTTCTCCCCAGGTGCCGCAGCTGTGCATACCACACGGATGGCACGTGCCTGCATTATGCAACATCTAGACAGCATGATAAGAGGAAGGGCAGCAAGACAGGCTGGGAAATGGATGCCCCACCAGGAGCCTGGCTGGAAGTATGCATGCCTCCACCTACAGCATGCCCCCAGCCAGTACCTTTCACCTGCTGCATAGCATGATGCATAGGGCCACCAGCACAAGCCTGCTAGCAAGCTTGGGAGCCTAGGTGGGAGTGCACTACATTTCTACCTGCAACAGAGAAGCCCAGTAGCAGCTGGCTCCTTCTTACCAGAGCAGTGCACTGGCGCGCACCACCTTACTTTCACTTCTGGTAACTCTACTTAAATCTCAGTTAGCTATGCTATATGAAGAGAACTTTTACTGCCCACAATATGCACAGATCCAAAAAAGCAATCAAAGCAGTTAAAAGAACAAATATATTTGTAGCCAAACTTAATATGGTATCAGTCCCTTATCCTGAAGACCTACATGAGTGGTCCCGTTGACATCAGGGAACACTAATCAAGCGAGTAAAGTTTAGCATGTGCAGTATGATATGCAGGATTGGGGTCTTATTGTTCACCCTAATGGAGTTAAATATCCCTCTTTGTGGGTAAAGCAATCAACAGTTTTAGAATATATGCATCTTGTTTCTGCTTGTGATCATTTTGCTTTTATTCGGTCATTATTGAATTGCTATAGCATTATTTAAACACAGATAGCACAGTCACAACATTTAGAAAGATACATATCTTCCTGTTCAAAAGAAACTTGACATTCTGAAAAATCCTGTTTACTCACTGTTTGTGTAATGTTTAGGTCATTTGAAGGTAAAACTATAGTCTCCAAAAGATGTTGATTCTGTTTTCATTTTCAATCTATTCACCTTTGTACAAAGGATAAGAACTTTGAGTGTTTCCTTGAAGCACCTAAATAAGCAAATTATTCTTATGTGATTTGGGTGTTAAAATTAATAACAAACTTTCATGCAAATTTACTTCTTAATAACATTAATTTGCTATCGTAAGTATATAATGAGATACAGAATGACGGTCATAACAATCCTAACTTTCCAAGCATGGAAAACAATTTGTAAGAAGATGTATCATTAATTAGTAATATGAATGTTATGGAAGCCTTTTAGTTATAGAGTGTCAGAAAAAGTATTTTGTAAAGTACTAGCAGATTTACCCAATGTTGCTCAGGTCCTTAATTCAATTGATTGATTGATTTTTTTTTAGAAACAAAAAGGAAAATCTACATGTTTTATTTTTAAAAATGTGGTGTCATTTTTATGAAGCTAATTTTATACCAGTTTTTTTAAAGGGGATAGTTAAAATTTGTCCATTTAATTTTTTTTAGTAAACTTCTTTAAATAGGAATTCCATCAAATGTAGTTTTTTTCTTCATCCTTATAAACTCTTATTATTTGCTATGTTTTAATAAAAATGGGTTATAGTCAAATGTTTTCCAATAACATTGTCTTCTAGCTTTCAAACCTCAAGCATTGATTTAGCAGTGCCAAAACAGAGCACTACTGCAAATTTCTCCATTTTATCTTTTTTTTCCTGTCAGGTTTACTGAGAAGAAATCCTATTCCAGCCCTGTGTAGCAGCATTATTTCAAGAGAAAACCCTTCTCTCGAAATAACTGTTAAACCTCATTGTATGAAGAATAACAGTTATTATGAGAGAAGGGTTTTCTCTCAAAACAATGCTGCTACACGGTGCTTTTTATTTCGCAATAATAAGTTGTCAAAATGGCGGCCAGACAAGATTATGCTAATTAAGCAAGGGATATTTAACTCCCATGCTTCATTAGCAATTTTGGTACACTACATTTGCACGTCCAGTTTTCCTGGAATAATCAAATCCTTATGTTGATTTAAGTTATGGAAACAGAAAGAGAGATATGTGGAATATGGAGATACTTAAAAGCAGGTTGGATAGACATCTATCAGGGATGATCGAGGGATGGTGCTTGGTCCTGCCATGAGAGCAGGGGACTGGACTCAATGACCTCTCAAGATCCCTTCCAGTTCTAGTATTCTATAATTCTATGAAAGCCATATACAAAATATGTTGGTACTAGCTCTTACCATTTAGGAGGAGTTCTTGATTTAACTGACAAACTCTCTAAAATATATAGTATACAACAGAGTATAAATTGCATCTAATAATTTTAGTGCAAAGTATACCACTGAAAATGTTTGCATCTATAGACATTTGTAGATTTCTGGATCCATTTTAAATATTTTAAAAGCAGTTTTCTCTTTTTAAAAGCAATTTTTATTATTGAAATTAATTGATTACTAAGAGCAAATACTTAATCTTAAAAGTGTAATTTTTTTAGCTTACCAGTTTGCCTTGATAAACATTAAACCATATAAATTAAGTTTCTGTCTGAAGTTGACATAAACCCACAAAAATGAGGAAATTGAGAGCTAAGTATGAAATGTCTTATTCATTTTATTATGCAAGATATTGTATACAATAATATAAACTATAACTATGCATGGGGCAAGCAAGTGTGGACATCAGAAAGTGCTTAAACACGTGATTTGTATTCTCTGAATTTTTATTTTGTTTTATTTTGGGGTTCTGATTGTGTGTTTTTAAGCATTAGCCCTAATACAGCTTCATTTATATATTTTTGGAAACCTTAGAAGTGATTTTCTTAGTCAAACACTTAGGAGCACAGCAGAACTATCTTTTTTTTCTTATTTCAGATACTCAGTTCTATTCACAGCCTGGAACTGCCAAAACAGGTTGCTTCATTCAAACTCCGAGTTAAATTGAATTGACAACATTAAGGATCTCATCCTCCAGAGTTTTCTTAAGTAAGGACTCAGTGAAGACTACAGGACTGGACCACAAATCAGTTGGATCACAACTTATCAGTTGGATTAAATGATAAATTCAGTGCCAACACAGTATGCAAACAAGAGTGCATGTTGTGGAAAAGCAAGGCAAGAGCAGAGATAAATAAAGCAACATCATTTAAACAAGATAACATGAACAGATGGACAAAGAACCAAAGGCAAAGAACATTCCAATTTTTGAACAGATAGAGTCCAAAAATTCTGTATGTGATGTAGACTCAGGCCTCATGTGTGGTAGATACATGGTCAAAATGTTACAGGAACCTATTTGAGAGGCCAGTGAAACAAAGTAATTGAACTCAAACCTTTACTCTTCCATCAAATGTGTTTGTTATTGAACAAAGAAAAGTAGGTTTCTTCCCAGATGCTACAAGCATATAACTGCAGTGAAGCTTATTTTTATTATTTGTCACTTAACATCATTAGCATGCTTTTAAATGCTTTGCAGACATAAGGATCTATGAATTCCATTCCTTGCTGTGCCACACACTTCTTGCATGACCTTAGACAAACCTTTTAGGGTATATTTATGGTGCAATTAAATATGCATGGCTGGTCAAGTAGGAGGATCCCAGGGCTCAGGCTTCCATGTAAACATAAACATCTACAAAGCAATGCATGGTCTCATGATGCCAAGCCAACTTATCTGGATGAGCTATGGATATGCAGAGAGTTCTTCAGTCCAGTGTAAACATACCATAATCTCTTTGTGCCTCGATTCCATACCTGTAAAAAAGGGAATAATAATATTTCCATTTCTCACAGGGTTGTCATAAAGATAAATTTATTAAAATTCACAAGATGCCGGATATTCTGATTAAGGGCGTGAGTAATGCATATAAACACATTTGGGTGAGTAATGCATATAAACACAATATGTTAAAGTACTGTCTTATTTTATGTGCTTTGTTTATAAACACTTTTTAATTGAATTTTAATTGAAAGAATGGCACCTTTGAAACTTGTAAACAGATCTTTTCCACAATTAAACCATTATGGTAGAAACTGAGGATAGATTTTTTGGAAGTAATTTTCCAAATGAGTGGCCATTTAAAAAAAGCAATAATTTAACTATTTTAATATTAAAAGGGTCCAGTTCCACAAAGATATTTAGGAGCTTATCTCCATGGTTCCTAAACACCTTCGAGGAATGTGTAATTAGTCTGCACCATGAGACAGAATAAGTGGATATTCAGAAAATATTTGGCTTTCAGCCATGAGACCCTGCAACTATACTGAATATAACTAATCAACTGTTCAAAGAAGAAAAATATTTTTATTGTATTTTGTTTTATGAGTAACTTAACATCCACCAAAATTTTATTTGTTTTTAAATTATTTTACACTTTGGAATATTTTACCAAGTTTGAATGAGGAGTGAAACTTTTAATTCCTTGACATTATAGAGTCTCTGAAAGAATGGCTAGCACAGCCATAACTATAATGGTACTAACATGCTCCACTGTCAAGTGTTAATGATTTTTATTCACACCTGGTTCACAAGTGATTAAAAGAAACCTATTTAGGCCTGCCTTTGAAGACCTTATTATTGACATGTTTGCAGCTGTTGTTGATTTTGTTTGGGTTGTTTTCAAATTAGCACATTATGTGTGAAAACGAAAAGAAAAAAAAAACAAACAGCTGCTATGTCTAAGTGCTGTGTTCCTCAAAACATCATCTAACTTTATTACCTACTGAAAGCAGAATGAAATTCAGTATTAACTCAGAGCTACTTGCTAGCTTGGTCATCTGTTAATATAAAGATGCTCTGCTAGACTGACAAATCTATAATTCAGTGTTCAAGCTCAACTCTTCCCTGCTGGCTCAGTACATACCCCAGGTAAACATCACATTACTTGTCAGAATGCAGGATTCAGGAATAGTGTATGGGAACCTGACTTCAACCTGTTTGCCTGGATCAGTGGTTCTCAAACTTTTTGGCCCCAGCCCCACCGGGCTCAATGCAAAACTTTCTGCAGACCCCCAGTTTCTAATAGAAACTCACCATTAATTACATAATTACACCTGAGCCATTTGGCTAGTGCTACAGCTAAGGAGAATGGGTTAATTTAAATTATTAAACAAATTAAGCATTTTAATTTTCTTATATTAGTTTATCAAACTTCATTTTTTAAAAAGTAAAATATTAATTTATGTCCAACACAAAAGGTTTCAATGTTTTATTTATTTGTGGCAGGGATGAGGAAACTTTTTAGGGGTTGGGGGCCACTGACCCACAGAAAAATCAGTCGCGGACCACAAAGTGAAAAACCAAAAGACTCCTTCAAAAACCCCCAACCCTCACTGATGTGGCTCCCAAATGAGACACCTCACTCCCCTGGTGCCTCCCCTCATCCAGCCCCACGGGATGAAGGAAGAAAGGAACAGGGAGGACTGAGGTTCATGGCTTCCCATAGACCAGATTTACTCTTCTGGGGGTTTTTTGTGGAAATACCCCTGCCCTCCAGACTCTGGAGTGGGAACAAAAATGAGGGCTTTAGTGTGTGGGACAGGAATTCCAGAGATTGGGATAGGGATGGGGGTGCAGAATCTGGGCAGGAGGTGGGTTGTAGGAGGGAGGTGTCAGTTCAAAGTCTGGGTGGGAGGTGTGGTGCAGGAGTAGGCTGGGAATAGGGACAGGGGGGCAAGAGCAAAGGAAGGTGTAGTGTGTGGCCTGGAGGGTAGGTGGAGGAGGAAGGGTGGGAGAAGGGTTTTTGGCCGGGGGGAGGGTGCAGAAGCAAGGAAGGGTTCAGAAGCCGGCTGTGGGGAGAGTATCTGGCCAGGAGGTAGGGTTCAGGAGCAGTCTGGGGATGGAGTGTCTGACTGGGGTGGGTGCAGGAGTGGTTTGGGGTAGGGTGTCTGGCCAGGGAGGAGGATGCAGGAATGAGCTGGAGGAACAGATTCGGGGTCATTTACTTGCTTTCATGCCCCATGCTGCTCCAAGGCATGGTGTCCCAATCACGGACTCCTGCTGCTCCCATCTGCCAGATTCTGGCCAGTGGGAGCCACAGGTAAAGCTTCCAGGCAGTGCATCCATGCACTGCTGTTCTACCAGCTGGGGGAAGGAGTAGGGAAGCAGCAGTGTGTAGAGCCATTTTGGGCTCTGCTTCTTCCCTGTGAGCTGGATCCAGCGGGGAGGCTCGGGGCTTTCTTCCTCTCCTCCCCTCTCCCAAAGGGAAGCCAGCACTGGTCATCCAACCCCACAGGAGGCGGGGCAAGGCTGGAGCATCAGTGCCAGCTGCCTGCTGCAAGGGGAAGGAGAGATGGGGGGACCACAGTTTGAGAACCACTGAAATAGGAAGCAAGCCATTTAACAGGCATTTTCCAGTTTCTGAATTTGCTGCATTAGTCTACGGTACCTTACTTTAAAAATTGCTTTAAAAAATTTCATTAGTGTGTTGCTGAAGATTATAAAAAAATCTCAAAAAAAAAATCTTCATATCCTCTCCCTTCCCCAGGGCTGACGCTGGGCATAGGGGCACCAGTTCAATAGTATTGCATAGAGTCCCATAGAACCTATGGACATCCTTGCCGGAAGCTGCAAGTGAGCTTTTGTTTGTATGTGTGGATGTACATGAGCCAGATGTTTGTAACTCAGGGAGTACCTGTACTGACCAAGAAGCCTCATTAGCATAAGGGGGAAAAATGCTGTCTGTAACGCGACTCTTCTCCTCCTGCCTGATTTCCTCCTTTAGCTTTAAAGAAACATCTTCTCACAGGCAGCACCACAGAAAGGTACTACTGGTAGCTAGTTCATGCTCAGGTGCTGTTTTTATACACTTCTTTTCCCCTCATTTCCAACTAAATGAGCTGTTTGTACATAAATTCTTCAAAGAAGAGTTTCCGAGCACAATGCCACACTTGAAGGAGATTGGAAATCTCTCTGTCCCCTTGCCCTCTGGATTTTTTTCTTTTGCATTCCCAATCTCAGGATCAAAAATATGAAGGAATGTTCACATGGCTCCTTTTTTTTCTGACTGTATATATTAGAACTTAATGTCAAAGTATACCTATATGATCACCTGGAGATCTGTGATGAGGATCATAGCTGACAACTACACTTCTCTAGTATAATGGAATTGTTTACATGAAGAAAGATTGTTTATGTGAGAGACCAAGATTTCTATGGCTCTGGCTAAGATTGGAATAAATTCCTGCAGAATTTAAGAACCATCACAAATGTCACAACTTTCCATACCAAGCACAGGCATATTTCTTTGAATAAACACAGACAAATCCACATGCAATCTCATTTCAGGGGATAGAAAAATAGGAAGAAGAAACCGCAAATGGTAAATGCTAATCACATAAATGAATGCACTACTGGAAGGCACTCTGATACCAATGAGTCTGAATGCAACCACTCATGTGTTTAAAGTTAGACATGTGCTTAATTACCTTGCTGAACCAAGACCATAATAAATCACTGTCTTTCACATCGACCTTTATAAAAATACTTTCAAAAGACGCTCTACCAAATTAGAATTTCTTGTAATGAACACATATTGCATTAACTATCAAAGCTATTTCCTCCTTTTGGTTTTGCATTCAATGATTATATGATTTCTTTAAAAAGAAAGGCTCATATTTAAACATTATGCCTTTTATCACAAAAATTATATTTGAAATCACCAAAGACTAGACTGAAATCTAGAACGTTGGCATTACAGTAAGCATCTTTGTTTATTATGAAACAAAAAGGAAAATATATTTTTCTAATGCTGACATTTTTTCTTGATATTAGACTACAAAATAAACCCAAACAAATCCTATGTTTCTGTTCTTCAGTCTGGACTGGGTGAAAGCAAGTAAAAAGAAATATAGTCCAATTTTCAGGTATTATCAGGCCATAAGCATTTTTTTGTCATTCAAAATTATACTGAGGTAGTGGGTTTTCTGTAAGTGATTTTTTTTCTGTCTGTAGCCAAATGCCAGGAGCCGTGCATAGCCTTAGAGCCAAGAAATGATGCACAGCTTGCATAATACTGTAAGTGCTATCTCTACTTCAGGATGTCCCTCCCGTGATATTTAAGTGCCAGAAAAAGATGATCTGCAAAGTCAAGACAAGTACATAAGAGTTCCTGAGTATCTGAGACTGCCAAGAAGACAAATTGTTTTTTTAGTTGGTGCCTAGGAAACCCATTAATACCACTTCCACTTGGAAATCAAAATGAATGCAACATGAGAATGCAGTAAGGCAAGCCTATGGCAGACAATGGTATTGTTGGCAACTGAAGCACAGAGGAGTAAATTGTGTAAAGCCCTCGGTTGTGAAGATAACTGATGCAGTGTTATTAAAGAGAACAGCATCCATGGCTGGATTAAGTTTTATAAATACATAGACACACACAAGTACTGCAAAGTGCACAGCATGCATCCAATCCTTATAACACAGCTTTTTTGCCCTCATGTTTTAAAGGTAGGAATTTCAGTTATTATTGCATTCACAATAGCAGGAAGAACTAGAAGAAACCCAAAGTACAGCAACCATTGATGTAGGTTTAATCCTGGCACATTTTTATTGTTAGATGTCTGGGATTACCCAGCAGATAAAAGTTCACAGTGCAGGTAATCCCCTATTTATTCTAACTAATTACTTGGCAGGGACGGGGGGCTTACACCAGGCCCTCTCTTTTCCATCCCTGTCCCTCCAGCAAATCCATTGTCGGGACCTTACTGTCCACCGAAGCCTCATAGGAGGGTGGAACTCCTTGCCTGAGGAGTTT